ATAGTCCCATTGATTCCTCAACCAAGAGCTTCAAAACAGATTGATTAGTCATGTATCTCTGGGGTGCAGCTAACAAAAGGATGCCTATTCATTCTCTTTTACATTAAAAGTTGGATTTTGATTTTTATAATTGTAAAAAGCTTTGGGAAAGCTAGTGTTAATTCTCACCTCAGAGAATTGGATATTATGCTAATACCCTCCCTGAAATATAAGTACTTAAATGTATGCTTCAGGAGGTAATTAAACAAAGTCCTTCAATTATCTCAGGAAAAGCCTTAATTATGTTTGAGCCAAGGTGCTTGGCTATTCCTCGAATACTACTACTTCTGGTAATAGATATGAGGACAAATCTTTCCAAAGCTAGCACTTTAAATGAATTATTTTGTGCATTTTTAATGTGATAATTTTTAATACGTCAAAAGAACAGACAATAGTAACCTTTTTTTCATTCAAAGGAACTGAAGCCAGTTTCAGTTGAGTAGGTTCAAGAACAAGCAACTTTCACACAGGCAGCAGGGTGTGAGATAGGGTGGCAGGTGGATGGCCTGAATGATAGAAGGTAACTGGGTGGGACGTAGGGAAAGGTGAGGGTAGGGTGTCAGGCCAGGAGGGGAGTTGGTGAGTGTTGGAGTAGATCTGCTTGTGGGATTTGGTGGAAGGCATGGGCATTCATGGTGGTGGTTAGAATGGAGTCAGGGAGAGAGGAGTGTTGGATGTCTCTGGGTTTCTGAGGACTTTAGGCTCTACATTGTGTTGGTGGTGGTGTCTGTGGGGGGACAAGTTGGCATGAAAGATGTCAGGCAGTACTTTAAGGAGGGTAGGTGTGGGCAGAGTGGTAAGTTAGGAGTGACGGTGGTCAGGTTTAGTAGTTAGCCAGGAGTTACAGATTCTAATTCCTCTCCTCTAACTTTTTCTGGTTAACTATAAAGTATGTCAGAACCCTTCAAAGTCTTTGATTGTAACTCAGAGTTGGAGGTTTTTTTTCAGAGGGTTCCAAATGCTGGGTAATCACCCATCAGAAATTCCAACTTCCCAAACAATTTCTTCAGGCTCCATTTTTCCAAGAACTTCCTGAATAGCAGCTCCAGTTTTGGAAGCACTATCTTCCTATAGGAAAACCTGGTCCAATATTTGACTTTCAGTATTATCTCTTTGCAAATGTTTCTGATTTTCAAAGAGAAACAAATGTTTCTTCAAACAATATCAATGTCAAACTTCTCAACATGAATAAAAAGAGATAAAAACGTATTTTTGTTTTATATTTAGGAAACAGTCGGGCTTCTATTCAGAAATGTTATTTCAAAAAAAACAAAATGAACTGTTGTTTGCTTTTAATAATTTACTACCACCATGAAACCTTAATTTGTTTAAGACTTAAAATTTTCATTTTATTTCCTTTTGCAAATAAACACCTTTTAGATGTTTCTAGAATTGTAAATCTAGAATTTGTGACTAAATGGAACTGTTCTAATTTAAAATAGAAATTAAATTTTACAAAAATGTTATTGGTTTGAATAAACCAATCAGTAAAAATAGCAATCCTCTAGTATATGATTCTTGTTGTGTTAAGATTAAATAAAATGAATTCCTCTGGAGATGTTGCTATTTTCCTCAACAACTGTGTCGACTTGTCCCTCATTAACATTTGGTATTTGCTAGGCATTTTTACTAGCCTGATTTAGAAAAAGACTTTTTTTAAAAAAAAAGAAATTCCAATTGAATAAATTACGTTAACTAAAATATTAACTATCGTAATTCAGACTTTTGACTTCTATAACATGTTGGTTAAAATCTGACATTCCTATGCTTGTTAAATGATTAATCTACTAACCTTAACAATTGGTAAGCAAAGACATCTCTTACAACATCATGAAATAACATCTCAGACATTAGAATTTCATCACCTTCATTGTGTATTTCACCATACATTAAGGATAACGTACCAAAGTATAATTTTGCATAATTTTTCCTTTAACGTACCCTTTACTACATATTACTAATATAATGCAAAAAGGTTCAATTTATTGTTGTCACATTTGTCAGTGATAAGTTTGTTAAAAATTGTATATCAGTTACATACATGCCAAATTAAGTTATTGAGATAGACCCGAAAATAAGAATAGATTTTATATATTAGAAAACAGAATGTACAAAACAAACAAAGCTTCACATATATTTTAAAATGATGTCAACTTTTTCTTAGTATTTTACTTTAACCAACATATATTTTCAGAATATTGTGCCACAGTTCACAACCAGAATTTGAGTTGAAATGGCTGCACACGAATGAAGGAACAGAACTTTTTGTGGTTCATTTTGGTTTGCACTCAATTTGCCGATTTATAAACAGATTATTAAAAATTAATAGGCATTAAGTGTACTCTTAACAGTATCCACTCCACAACCTGTTTGTAACAGCTTCAAAACACATGGCCAAAATGCTGTTACAGATACTTCTTACCAAGCTAAGATTTTAATGTCTCGTAAGTTGAGTTCCTTGGTTCTTGGCTTAGATGGCTCACAAACTTTGTGTAAGGGTATGCACCTTTGGATGTGTTCAAATAACTCACATTTATCTCAGATGGGACTTTCAATAATTGCTCATTTTAAAAAGCTAGAGAAAAATACATAATGAGTCTCGCAAGCAATATCTGCACATCAAAACATTGGCTTTACAGTTCACAGTTGTGTATAATTAATTGGCCCCTATAAACTTTCTGGACTTTTTCAGTCAAACTTCAGGTTCACTATAAATAAATTTCACAGATTAGTCAGGGACTGGAAACATTTTTTTTTGCAAACTGTACAGTATTAAAACAAATGGTAGATATGGCATTCTAAGAAGCCAGGTATATTAGTTCTGGCTTCAGCCAACATGAAACAGTGTTCTAGCTTCATGAAGGATTGTGACTGTTCTTTTAGCTATTTAATTCTAATTATAGTACTAAATAATTTGAGAACCAAGGAACAATATTGTGAGGCCTTTCTGATCACTCAAAAGTATCTTTGAAAAATTGTACAGCTTTAGCCATAAATTAGAACTATAGCTCTCGATATGATTGTGCTGTATACTGTTGTAAAAAATAAGATAACAAAAGCACCTATTGCTTAGTGACAGCTGGTAACAACAGCCTTTAAAAAAACAGGTGGTCAACTATTCTCAACTGAGAAAGCCAGCTGCACAGAATCTGTTATGACAAAATGCCCCCCTAATGGTACTGTTCAACCATGTGGCAAAACACTTAAATGTTACTTTCCTGAAAGTGCCACTGCTGAAATTTTCCAAATTAAGCCCAATTTGAACAAAATCAAAAATCCTACCAAGTCCCACCACTGTCTCCTTCCCAGCTTATATACGTGGAAATGTTTTGTTTAAACATGTGCGAGTGCGCATCTCCGTCGAACAGCTGGCAAAATATGCTTTGTCTTGGCAGGGATTTATGGTCTCAACCTGGGAGCTAGATGGATACTGACATCAGATCAGAACAGATTACAGTCTTCTGCCAGAAATGTCCTGTTTAGATTTGTCCATCTCCTTAATGCAAATCAGCATTTTGGAATTTCTCAAAAAAAATTGAGGAAGGTTATTCAAGCAATAAATTACCCACTAAAATATATGCTTCCACTGATTGTATCTGATTCCAAAAAGGGAATAAATAAAAGTCTCAGTCATTTGTCAATTTTAGTAATTGATTGTTCTCAACATTTTCTAGGAATTTTAGTCAAACTTCATGGTTAGTATAAATAAATTTTATTGGCTGTTTGGGAATTTGAGACTCTTTTGCAAACCACACATCATTATAAGTATCTCGTGTACTGGCTATGATCTTCTAAGAGGAGGTTTTTGAGTTCACTGAAACCAAATATCTACTGGGCAGGATGAATTACAAATGTCAATTCTGCTCATTGGATTTATTCTACTGTATTTATACATGCATATGAAGAAAATTCAATCTAGTTACAGAGCTCATATGGAGGGTGATAAATCATCTTGACTCCTTGTTACTCATGTAATACTGCATACATGCATTTGTTTTCCATGTTTCAGCTGGTGGAGTGTACGTAATATGGCTGATTATGTGGGAGCTTTCCTAAGAAAATGGGAATGTAGGTTATAATGAATAGTAACAGCCAGTTGAAATAAAAACATCACAGTAGGTAATGTTGGAGATCACAGGCAGCTTTTAGGCTAATTTCACATTCTCATAAAAGCATATTTAGATCAGCTTCTGAAGTACAATGGGTTAACAAGGGAAAAGGAGTTATAGATGATTAATGGACCACATTTAAAGTATAATTCTGTTTAAAACAATTCAGTTGTCATGATAGTTATATACCAATGCTTATCTCTTACCTGGCTTTGCAATGTTTTTACTAGTCTCGGAGATCTTATGAAAACAGTTTGGATTGGGTCAAATTACCACTGCAATCGTTCATACCTGATTGTTTTATTTCACAGAGAAAAAGTACGGAACTGCAAATCCTTGAATCAAACTGGTAGTGTTGCTACAGTTACATGGGAAATTATGTATGTACATATACGTATGTCTTTCAAATGTGCTTATGTATAAATTAATACATTATATATATTTTCTCAGCTCCACAGTTAAGGCTGACTCAAAAATTCAGCTGTTGCTTGGATATATTTATCACATTAAAGTGCTGACTAAATATTCTGGATGTAATGTGATTTTAAGAGGAAATTTCTAACATTCAACGATCAATCATTTTCATACACAAATTTATCATTAATTTGGTAGTAATGATTTCCATCTTGAAGAAAAGCTATTAATGAAAGCATAACAGTATTGTCAACAAAAGATGATGTTACAGCATGTTTCTGCATTGACAATTGGGAAAGTTATCTAAAATGGTTGTGTTATTTATAGTTTTAATGTTGACCAATAAAAGTAAAATAGTAGTTTGATTTTTCTTTATTTTTGTAACACGGTTTATAGCTTAAGGTGTTTTCATTAAAAAAAAAGTTTTGAATTTCTTACCTGTTTTCTCTGGTGCTGTGCTACTAGCAGCTGTCTCAGTTTGAGCCTTTGTTGCTTCTTCGCTAGCCTCAGTGGCAGGCACTTCTACTGGTTTCTTCTCCTTTTCCTGGCTGGAGGTAACATTTGAAGGTGGAGTACTTTCAGTGGCCGTACTTGCGTCACTTCCTGTTTCCTTGGCATCCTTTTCGCCATTCGTGGTCTTTTGTTCTGTCACTGCTGCCGTTGCTTTTTCCAAGTTTTCCGTGGGAGCTTCTTTAGCCTCTAATGCCTTCTCAGCATCAGAGGGGGTTGCTTCAGGATTGCTTGTTGGCTTTTCTACCTCTTCTGTTTTCCCTTCAGAACCAGATGTAGCTGGTTCCGTTGCTGTTGCCTCTTCCTCCTTAACGGGCTCTGTTTTTTTACCGTCATCTTTTTTCTCTGCGTCCTCCACTTTTATTGCCACAGCTGACTCTCCTTTCTTCTCCCCCTTGAGCTTTTTCCGTGTTATGTGGCCACGGAAGCTAGCCTGGATTTTGGTGGCAGCCTTGTGAGCCTTGTCTTCAGGTTTGGTAGTCTCTTGCTCAGCTTTCGCATTAGCATCATCATTCTTTTCAGCCTAGAATCAAAGTCACAAGAAAATATAATTGTGAAGTCAAGTACAAAAAAATGTGAGTCTCTTTATATTGCCTTATCATTGTTCCTGACACACATTTAATGCTTTAAACTTTGAACATTTGTGATTTCTAAAGCCATTGTTTATCCTATTTTAAATCCCATCCAGATGACTTAATTTAGTACCAATTTCTTTTAATAGGCACAAAGAAGCAGAAATACCTAGAATGCCAGCAAAACAAAAAATGGTTGCGGACGTACTGTCATTTTCACAATACAATGCAATTTTCAATCAGCATCAAGGAACAGTGGTGGGTAATTTAGAAGACTGTCTAAAGTAATAAAGCCAGGAGGCACCAAATCTTGCTGTAAGATACATATTGTACCAACTTCAGTATATATATTTACAATATCCAAACAGTTTGTCATTCACCTTCCATGATAGTTAGGGATTCTATGATAACTTTAGTTATAAAGGCACAGTTAGATCCCTTTGAATCTTATTTAGGATAATATGAGAAAGGCATCTCTGATGTAAAATACATTAAATACACTCAAACATTTTCCACGATGTCAGAGGTTTTACTTTTCTAAGTATCTTGCTTAACAAGCAAGTGAAGAACTGAATGTATGGAACATTCTTACGCTGGATGATGGAGGCTCAAGTACTTTCAAATTAGTCCTCTTGCCTTAGATAAATAATCGTGACGACCTTCTGGCATTGTTGTGCCTCCAGAGAACGCTTACACACTGAATGTTACAATTTCTAGCCTGCATGCCTTACTATTAGTGACTATCAGCCAAGACCCAGAGGAGGAGGAGGAGGAGGAGCAGGAGGAGGAGTGAGAAGACAGCAGGAGATTGTCTGATCTTAGCTGGCAGCAGCTATTGCCAGCATTCTGGAGCCAGGAGAAGCACTTCTGTTTCTTTGGCTTTGATGAATTTTTAAAAATCGTATTCACCCTTTCAGTGGGAACCATTGCTCTGCAGCACCTAGTTAGTCAATCTTAAAGGATCAGATCTCAAAACCTTTCTGCTCAGGACTGCCCAACTTGAAAGAAAGATTCCAAAACTGGCACTAACCCCTCCATTAGTTTATGCAACAGGCCTAATGCTGGTTTAACATTTCTGCTCATTAAACATGGCTCGATGCAATTTCATGCTGGACGCTTTTCAGGTGTCCTTGGAACTCTAAACATTGGACCCTGAAATTGGATCTTGCCATGTCTGTTTTACACCAGCTATTTTTTTAAAATCCATACCTTATATGGTGTCCATTCCTCAAGAGCAATGTTATACCATTGCTCTTAGAACTCTATATTGGAACTTAATGTTAAATTTGCAGAAAAATGTATCCTTAGGATATTAGATGACATTGTAAACCTTGAACCCAAAAAAAAACTAAGAATCAGTGACAAGAGATAACAAGGTGTAAAGCTGGATGAACACAGCAGGCCAAGCAGCATCAGAGGAGCAGGAAGGGTTTTCTGAAGAAGGGTCTAGGCCCGAAACGTCAGCCTTCCTGCTCCTATGGTGCTGCTTGGCCTGCTGTGTTCATCCAGCTCTACACCTTATTATCTCAGATTCTCCAGCATCTGCAGTTCCTACTACCTCTAAGAAGCAGTGACCTTCACTTATCATTAGATAACAATTTTAGTGTTCCATACTAGACTAAATTAAGAGGTCTCTTTATCCCACAGAAAATGTGGAAGTGATGGGCAGATCTCAACCTTTATTTATGTTAATATAACATAATCCATTTATATTATGCTATTCTTATACTGGAATCACTTACATGACTGACACAGTCACCCCACGAAGGATGGTGTGTAGACACAAAAGAACCCTGTGTCTTATACTCACTTTCAGACGTATTAGTTAAACAGTAATGAGTGGCACTTCACAGTGTTGATGTCAAAGTTTTGCATCATCACTTTCAGAGAGATTAAATAGGCTGTTGCAATTTTACATTTGAATAGTATCAGACAGCTTCCCTGCATTTACAAGTTAAAGCAATATAAAACTTATGACCTGAGAAGTAGGTTTTCATGTCAAGGTCATTGTACTGGAAGATTTAAAAGAATGATGCTGTGATGAATTGATAAACTGGTTCAGAAATTAGTAAGCACAAGGGAGAATATACAATTCAAATCAGATTAATAACTGACAATGTAGTCTCCTCTATACTAGGGAGATGAAATGCAGACTGGCAACTGTTTTGTGGAATACCTAACTTCCGTCCACAAAAATGACCCTGAACTTACAGCTGTTTGCCATTTTAACGCATCACTGCGTTTCCTGGCCAACATTTCTGTCTTAGACATGCTGCAGTACTCAAGTGACGATCAGACAAGCTGGAAGAACAGCATTTCATCTTTCATTTACGGACCCTGCAGCTTTTAAGACTCAATATTGAGTTCATAATTTTAGAACTTGAACATCTCCTTTTATCAACTCCCACAGCTCACACCTCAGGCCCTATCATGAAGTAGGCTGCTTTCAGCATAATCAACCTATTTTCACCTACCTATGGTCCTCATTATCAGCTTTTCTTTCTCCCTATCGTCCATCCCTTTGTCTGCCTAACTGTTACTCACCCCCTCTCTGGACTCCATCTCTGCCGATCTGGTCACTCCTTCTTCCCTCCACCCCTTGTCTTTAGCTATCACCTTTTCCTAGCTACTATCAGTTCTGAAAAATGGGTCACTGGACTCTAAATGTAAAGTCTGCTTTCTCGTCACAGATGCTGCCTGACCTGTTTAGTTTCTCAATCAATTGCTGTTTTGTTTCAGACTTCCAGGATCCACACTTCTTTGTTTTATATTATGATAATTGCAGCGGTCTGCTCCAAGAACATGGGGGAAAAATAAGAAAGGTTCTCAGACTAGGATTGCCTAGATTCTTTTGAAGTTTTACATTCTCCTCCTCAGTTTACAATACTCCCAAGTTTAGTATCATCCACATATTTCAAAATTATGTTCTGTATACCAATATCATTAATATCGGAACATAGGAACAGGAGTAGGCCATTCAGCCCCTCAAACCTATTCTACTATTAATGAGATCATGGTCGATCTGTGGATTAATTACACATGTGTGCCTTTAGCCCATATCCCTTAGTATATTTGCTGAACAAAAAATTTTTACAGATTGAAAATTAACAACTTATCCAGCATGCACTGCCATTTTTAGAAGAGTGTTCCAAACATTTACCACCCTTTGTGTGTAGAAGTGCTTCCTAACATCTCTCCTGAACAGTATGGTACCAATTGTCAGACAATGCCCCGTAGTTCTACAATCCACAACCAGTGCAAATAGTTTATCTTTCCTTTGTTTTCCTGAGAATATCTTGAAGACTTTGATTAGACCACCCTTAATATTCTAAAATTTAAAGGAAACAGGCTTGATTTGTGTAATGTCTCCTCATAACTTAACCCCTGAAGTCCAGGCATCATTCTTGTAAACTTATGTGGTACTCCTTCCCAGGTCAATATATCCTCCAATGCCAAATCCGCTCACAGTAGTCCAAGTGGGGTTAAACAAGGAATATATAAATCAGTAAGTGCAGGTTTGTACACTGACCACTAGGGAACTCCAACATAAACTATTTTTTTCCAATCCAAAAATCACTCTTAATGACAATTCTGATACCTATCATTCAGTCATCCTTCATATCTGTGTTGCTACTGTCCTCCTTATTACATGAGCTCTCAGTTTGCTCACATATTTCTCACAAGACATTTTATCAAATGCCCTTTAGTAGTTCAAGTATACCATAATTGTCTTACACTCTTTAGCCCGCTCTATAATCTCATTAGAGAAAGACTGAAGTGTGTTAGTTAAACACAATTTGCCCACAATGAATTTGTGTTGCTTTCCTTAATTAACCCATATTGTCCAAAGCTCTGTCACTTTTGTCCCAAATTAACATTTCTAGGAGATTCTCCACCATTGAGGTTAAGCTGACTGTCCTAACATTGCTGGACTTATATTTACGTGATTTTTTGGAATAAGGGAATAGCAGGTAATATTCTGTTCATCTTTGACATAACTGAAGAATCTTGGAAAATTATGAGATAACACAGCGTGGAGCTGGACGAACACAGCAGGCCAAGCAGCAGAGGAGCAGGAACGTTGACGTTTCAGGTCGGAACCCTTCCATGTTTTCACAACTTATGCTCTATTTTCACTGAGTATGCTTAGATTTATGTCTTTAGTTCAGAGGGTGTGCGGCAGCAGTGGGAGCGAGTTCCAATGGCCCAAGGGCCTGTGGCAGCAGGAGCAAGTTCCAAAGGCTTGTGGCAGCAGCCAGAGCAAGTTCTGATGGCCTCAGAAGAAGAGGGGGCCGAGTTCCAAGGGCCTGCAGCAGAAGAAGGGACCGAGTTCCAAGGGCCTTCAGCGGCAGTGGGAGCAAGTCTCAAGGGCCTGTGGTGGCAGTAACACTGAGACTCGAGCTTTTGGGGACGGAGGCCCATTATGGAGATAAGACTTTTAGAGCTGGACGCTTCATCCTTTCCTCCTGGCTTTTTTCTGTATTTCTGCTTTTTTTAAAATTCTGTTTTTTTTTGGTATCTTAGATGGTTGTTTTGGTTTTTGTATCAAGATGATTGTTTTTTACTTTGAGTCTTGTACATAAGATGGTGCTGGAGAATGGCAACTTTTCCACTGTACTCCTGTACTTTTATACTTGAGTACATGTGACAATAAAACCTAATTCTAATTAGTTCATGAGATAACAAGGTGTAGAGCTGGATGAACACAGCAGGCCAAGCAACATTAGAGGAGCAGGAAGGCTGACATTTCGGGCCTAGACCCTTCTTCAGAAATAGGAGAGGGAAAGGGGGTTCTGAAATAAATAGGGAGAGAGGAGGAGGCGGATAGAAGATGGATAGAGGAGAAGATAGGTGGAGAGGAGACAGACAGGTCAAAAAGGCGGGGATGGAGCCAGTAAAGGTGAGTGTAGGTGGGGAGTTAGGGAGGAGGTAGGTCAGTCCAGGGAAGACA